AATATTCGCGATTTTGATTATTTTAGCCACATTTTCCAATGGAATAGTCTGAAAAACCGCACAACGAGTTCCTTTTGAGCACTTTATTCATTGAAAGAAAATTATCTATATAGGTCCATGATATCGTATATCCCCCATATAACGGTACCCCGATATTCGGTATTTTGATGATTTTAGCCACATTTTTAGATAGAATTGTCTTAAAATCTATACAAGGAGTTATTTGTGAGTACTTTATCCCTAGACATTGATTTGTCTATATATGTCCACAATATCGTTTATCCCCCCATATATCGGCACCTTCCGAGATTTTAACAGAATTTTTAATGGATTTTATTTTTATTTTTGAAAATGTCCTAATTGGTTCCAAATGGTGGGGGGTATTCAAAGTTCGCCCCGGCCGAACTTACTGCTTTTTTACTTGTTTATCTTTTAATACTTCCTTTCTAAAATTAAAATATAAATGTTGGAATTAATCTGTTCTCACCTGCAATCAATTATACTATGAGTTTAAAAATTCTGTTAAACTCATAAATGAGTTTGTGAAAAAACGCTATGTGAGTCAGTTATTTTATTGGTGCTTCAGTGAAAGGTAATGGTCAGATGGTATGTACGCCTTTCTGTTGTGACTTCGATATAGGGGTTATTTAACTTTGATTGCCTTTAGAATCAATGGCTGGGAGTGTTGAGGCCAGGGCCTTTCGAGGACCCATTTAATAGGCCCGTTTCTCATAGCATACATTTTCTTATTCAGATTTCATTTAATATAGGGGTCAATTGTGGTTTTTGTTTAGTCCATTAAATCATATGTAGACTATTAAAACTATTCGAGTCTATAATATTATACTCAAAAAAATACAACTTTACCACCTCTATTAAAAGTCCAAATTTGTTATTGTGGCGGAAAAATATACAATTCGCTTCGACAATAAAATTATTTTTGACAATAATTGAATGCTGTATCAGTTCCGTTCATTTACTTTCCCAGTAACATTACCTCGGAAAGAAGTTGCTGAGAAAACATTTGTAAGATAACACCTGATTGCTGGATCAACCACAACTTTGGCACAAATATAAACAGCGAAAATATTTTGATGCAGTTTATTTTTTACATTTCATTACAAAAAATATAACCTCCTTATAATGTGGCCATGTTGCATACCTTAAAGTTTTTGTACATGCAAAAATTCATCACTTTTTCCAAGGTGAAATAATAAGGTTTACGCATCAGCTACAGCAAACACAACATTGTTGTTATAGAAATTAAAAAGTAATTTTGACAATGTTTTTGAACTGGAAAAAAAAACGAACAAACAAAAAAGGAAACAATCCAAAACAAAATTACAAAACAATTTGCAACACATCAAAACTTTCAAACGCTTAAAATGGTACAAAAATGATTTTGAGGAACTATATTGATGTTGGTTGAGGTTTAGATATAGCTTCCGTATATATTTTCGGACGATTTCGTACATTTGAAGCACGTAATACGCTACGTATTTTAAGTTTAAATGAAGTTTGGAATGCGTAACGGAATTTAGTCTACAATTATTTTTTTTAAACTGTATTGAAATCGGTTTAGATTTGGATATTATTTTATTTAGAAATATATACCCAACACGCCTTTGAATGGTATTAACTAAAACAAGTAAGCAAAGGCTATAGTCGGGCGGGGCCATGATTTGAAAACAATTTGACTAAAATAAACACTTCTCTAAGAAACATCCCTATACCTGCTACATATTAAAGGCAAATTCCTACTACTCTAAATAAATAATTCGCTCTTTCGGAAAGAACTGAAATTTCACATATATTTTTTTCATTCATTTGTTCCTGAAATAATGTTAAATATTTTATCTTGGGGTTTGATCGAAATCACGGAGTCATGCAAATCTAAAGCCCTATATCGTGTTAATGGACATTTAAAACAACATTGAAAATTTAGATTCTTCTACACAAATCAGCATCAATGTAAATGTCAGAGGTGCACATTTTATCTATTTCATTTTCACATTTCACCAGCTAAATATTATCCGAAGAACATCCAAAATCAAGCCTTAAAGCCTTAAGTATGAAATTAAAGTGAAGTTTAAAGCTAAAAGCAATTAGATTTGACAATTTTAATCCCAAACAAAAATGAAAAAAGTTAAAAACTATATGATTGTCAATTACACCTTGTACATGAAATTATTTTTCTTTGTCTCTTAAATTATAAAAAATACATTTTTTCCTTTTTTAGTTTTTGAATTTCACTCGGACTTAATAAATGTTTTTGTAACTTAATAAATATGCCTTTGTTTTAATTGTAAATAATAATAAAAACTCCCACATTAATTGGAACGAAGTTCCGAACTGCCAAGAATTATTTTGAGTATATGCTTGAACTTGGGATTATTATACCGTCAAGAAGTAATTGGTCGAATCCTCTTCATGTAGTTTCCAAGATAAATTGTGAGAAATGTGTACTTACATTTACTAAATCACTTACTGAACATCTGGAGATCGTTTTTGAAATATATATTCTCTCTTGTTGAATCATTGTCATTTTTGGATTGTGTATATTTTGCCATGTCCTGAATATCAGCATCAATGTTGCGGTCAGAAGTGAACTTTTCATGTATTTGATATTTCCTGGAATTAAAAAATATCCCCTGTCTACTGGAAATTTCGTATTTTTTTTTTGCATAAATGGTCTATTTTACCCGCTAAATTTTGTCAAATGACCATCCAACAGATCTAAACTAGAGCCCCGTGCAAAATTTCGCGTCAATTGGTCCGTAATTGTGGCCTATAGAGCAAATGCAAAATCAGGGAATTTTTCTGCGATTATCTTTAAAAACAATAGACATAATTGCAAACTGTAACGTGATTACAAATTAACATGGACAGACGTCTGTTCGTCTCACAGCTACATACATCGGACATACATAGCTAGAACGACTCAGTTCAGCGAGATAGGAAATAGATGGATAGAAAATATTCGAATATAAAATTTAGGGATGGCTGGCATATGTAATTTTTTGTCTTCATATACCAAATTTGAAACAATTCCGATCTACAATTCCACTAAAATCGTAAAAATTCCGAATATCAGGTGATACCTTTATATAGAGGCTATACAAAGGCGTCGACCTGCATAAGTAATACTGTTTTCATAGGTTGTAGTACCCATTAGATATTCAAGTACAACATTTGAAACAATTCCAGCAAATAATGTCGCTGAAATCATAAATATTGTGAGATACCGTTATATAGGGGCTATATGAAAACGTTGTTCCACATGGTCCAAATTTGTCTGTCTACTTCCAAAATACACATGTGTGCAAATTTTTAGCGATCTATCTCAATTTGTTCGAAAGATAGCGTGATAATAACAGACATATATACGGACATAGCTACATCGACCTAGAATTTTAATGTGATGAAGAATATATATACCTTGTTGGATCTGACATGAGTATTCCGAGGAATGATAAAGTTAATATACCCCCCATAGTACTCGTATGGAGAAGGATATAAAAAGTGTGAAGTCAATGTCCGGTTTTCCATAAATTTCGAACGTTGAATATGTCCCACTAAAATTAAGTCCCTCATTTTATGTGTCGCATATGATATGTATGCCCACCCCATGCTCAGGGCAGTAGATAAGGGCTGTACGAAAACGTTATTCGCCATATACAATTTATTTCCCTAAAAAAATGGTAGATACTTGAACTCCAAACACCAATTTTAAAACAATGCCGCCTAAGTCACCGAATATCAGGAAGTACCATTTGGAAGGATGTTTTTCCAACACGATGACAAACGCCCTATAAACCTCACTATTCCGTTCGGATACTAAAGTCATGTCCACAGACCGACAGGTAGGTGGACAGCTAAATCGGCACATACTTTAACGTTAACAAAGAATATATTATGGGATCTGAAACGTTTATTTTGAGAATAATATGGTCTGATAAACTAACAGCAGGATTTTCTACATGCAACTATGGTGGATTCCCCTTTCCGACAGTTAACGCAACAATAGGCAACACGTCATCAAATTTCGATTTGCTATAAGATCCTTGTATCGTTTTTTACGTCTATGTTTAGAATTTCCTCCTGGACGATAATAATTTAGACAATATTACATACAACGCCATAATTCATAGTGGGTATAAAAACCGCCAGCACCAGACTGCTATTTTCTACTAGAAGTAAACTGTTGGTTGTAAGTAAGAATTAAAACCTTGTTCACAACGTGCCAAAAAAAAGAACAATAAATATTCTGTTTATTACCCTGTTAGCTTTTAAACAGATTTGCTTACCTCATAGGTCGAAGGCTAAAATTTTGCACACATGTTTATTTTGCCAGTTGGCAGGTTATGTTCGTAAATGGGCCATGTAGGTCCACGTTTTCATATAGCCCCCATATAACGGTACTTCCCTATATTCGGTATTTTGATGATTTTAGCGATATTATTCACCGGAATTGTTTCCAATTTGGTATTTGAAGTTCGAAATGAATACTACAGCCTAAGACAGAAAGCTGTCTGTGGAGGCCCACGTCTTTGTATAGCCCCAAATTACGTATTTATAGTTCGTAATGGGAACTACAGTCTGTGACAGAAAATTGTCTATGCAGGTCCACGTCTTCGTATAGGCCCCATATATCAGTACCTCCCTATATTTGACGATTTTAGGTACAGTACCCACCGATTAGTAATATGATAAACTTTATTTTGTGATAACGAACGTTATAGTACAAAAAGCCTACAGAACACTCGTTTACCTGTGATAAAAACTACACATTAAGCATAAAATTAAATCTTAAAAAAAATGCTCTACACTGTTTTAACAGACCAAATTGTTATTTAGTTAGTTTTGATTATGTATTTATTATATATATTAATACTGCAGACGTCAAAACTCTGCTCGCAACAGCTGAGGTCGGGAGCAAACCTCATTATATATATCTCCATTTTGTATGAAATACATAATAAATTTACACATTAGCCAAGTATATGTCTTTCAAACAAAAAGCCCAAATAGAATATTTTATTTTTAAAAATATGCATTAAACCCTAAAACTAATTGTCAATAACGTTAACTGGGTCAAATAGTACTATATATATTATAAACGATACAATCAAAACGCAAAGTATATTGTATTTTAATTTGTCTGCCCATTTGTCCTAAGGTAACATTTTATCCTTTACTCTGAGGTCGCCAAATAATCTGTTAACCATTTTTCTATGACCGGAAGATTGATGTCACTCCATTTGACTTCTTCCTTTATATTTCTCATAGATTTTTCAATTATGTGAAGTGCACTTCCAAACTCATTTTTGTGTTGATCGTACAGTTTTTTGACCATTTGATATCCTTCTTCGGTGGTAAACATCCTAGTGGCTGAACCCACCATACTATCCCACAAATTAGTTTTGGTTTCAAATCTGTAAACAACATTAGAAATTTTAATAAAAGTTTTTTTATGAATATATAGAATACTTATGTTCATTATACCTTTGTCTTACAAAAGACCAGTTGTCCGACAAAAAGTTAAACAGGGCCTTGTATCCACAAGATCCAGAACTGAGCATATTAAATATGAGGAATATGTCGTTTTCCGTGAAGTTGGAGTTTCCCTGGATGATAGTTAAGTTCAGAAGTTGTGCAATTTTTTCAGAATGTACAGGACACCCGGCTAAATTTTTTAGCAAGTATGTTCGTTCGCTTTGTGTTCTTGACTTGGGAAAATTTATAACACGATGCAGACCGAACTGCCATTCTTCCATAGAACCCCATTTGAAAATGGGACAAATAAATTTGTTGGGAGCCCTGTGGGGAAACATTGAGTATAAATGTAATATAAGTTAATATCCAACTTACATAATTTGTTCATCTGGGTTAGGACTATCCATCCACAATTTAAATGCTTCCCGAGCTTCTTGTACACAAGGCTTGTACCCAGCACGACAAAGGAAAGTTTCAGCCATAGATTTCAAATCAAACATAGCTTCGTCTGTTATGGTAGTTTCATTCATTTCCAGGTATAAGGGTGTAAGTAGATGTATAACATAGTTCTAAAAAATAATTGAGGTAAATTAGAAAAAATTAAGAGGCACCAAATACAGAAAGTTGAGACCAAGGTATATTTACAAGGTGAAACGGCAAGGACATTCTCTATTTTCTTGTGCTGTCAAAAACAATTTTTAATCTTTAAAATAAATAATTATATTTCATTTGAATGTCAAAGCTAACTTGTGATTGTTAACTCAGACTTTCTTTGTTCTGCAGGACTTTAGGTATTGAAAATGGGCTATATAGGTACATGTTTTGGTATAGCCTCCATATAACTGTACCGACAGATTTAAGGTGTTTTGACCGCTTAATCATAATATTAACCCAAATTTGCTGCAGATCGGCAGCATATGTTCCCATTACGTAAGAATCATTCTTGCGTATAAAGGTCAATGTACATCCAAACATTTGATATTTTGATTATTTGTGTCACATTTTTCACGGGAAAAATTTCAAGTTCCCAATATGTACTACACCAAATGACAGAAAATTGCTTAAACGTATTCGTGTAGCCCCCATATAACGGTACCACCCTATATTTGGTACTATGATGATTTTAGCGACATTATCCATCTGAATTCTTTCAAATTTCATATTGTTTCCCTTAGCCTTCTGTAGCTTAAAGCACTTTTGTCGAAGTCTGTTTTGAAATTCATTCGTTTTATTGTTGGCCCGTTGAAAATGTGCAGCATCTCCATCGCGCAACGTTTGTTATGGTTGGTTTCCCTGTCTAGTATCCTCATTCCCTCAAATCCGAAATTTGATCCCAAAATTGATTTCAGTGCTATGTCAAGTGCGAAAATTTAGAATATCAACCCACCCCATTATGTACATCCCCTACAAAGGGTCAACATTTTGAATAATTATAACTCTTATAAAATGTGAAATAAAAGTCCGATTGTATTCAAATTTCACAGATCATATTATTGCTAACACAAGATCTTGTTGAAGATGGAATACTTCAGAAACTCCTTCAAAAACTTTAACCCTTTCAGTGTCAATGAAAATTTTTGTCGAGATAAAAATCTGAAATTCCGTACTAATTTACTAAAATGTGCTCAGAAATTCGAAAACGAAACTAATAGAATATAACTGCAATATTTTTAAATAGCGAACGTATCTGTTATTAAAAATATCAAAACTAACGGTTCGTAAGAAAAACAAAAAATGGCAAAGAAAGAGAGTACTTTTAAATGTCAAATATATTTGACAAAAACACTGAAAGGGTTAAACTGAATATGGAATATTTATGCCCACCCGTTCAGGTACACCCCCATAGAAAGAAAAAGTATTGTTCGTTTTTCTTTACATTTTACGGATTATAATATGTTTTATCAGCACTACTATTTCCAGAAATTATCCCATATTCAATATCTATAAAAGAGGGAAGTGTTTGTACGTTTGATTGTTTGTTTGTAATTTATAGATTCAAAAACCGCTAAAAACATTTTCCTGCAAATTTCCAAATAAACTACAGCATTGCCTGTATGAATATTTGAAATTCCACTTAGAAATGGAGATATAGCATCAGAATCAGAGGTATCTCCAAAAAAAATAGAATTTATATGTACATATCTATTTGTCGATTATAGATACGGTATTAAAATTTGGAATGTGCATCGGAATTCGTTCCAAAAATAAATTTTCCGAATTTTATTGAAATCGGTTGAGATTTGGATATAGCTCCCACATATATCTTCGGTCGATTTCACATATTTGATGCACCAAACACGTAAGTTATCACCAATACCAAGGAAGTTTGGAATGTTTAACAGGCAATCTGGTATAAAAATAAATTTACCGAAAGATACTGAAATCGGTTGAGATTCGGATGTGGTTCCCATGCATATTTTCGCCTTTGCGATGGTATTAAATAACGGTAAAAAAGTAATTAAAGGAAAATAATTAAAATTTAAAATTTGAAGTTTGTGCAGTAGTAATTGGCTATTGGTATTTTGGAAACTATTTTTGGAGTTCCTTGCCATTCACTGTTGTTGGAGTTACGTGTTAATTGCAGCTTTTCTGGAGTGCCACAACGAAATATTTCTACTGATTTGACTTGCTGGTTGATGCGCATAGTTGCACATATTTAAAATGCCGTCCCAATTGATCTGGGTGTGTCTGAAGCTGAGGCGAGAGTTAATAAGGCTCTTAGATACACTTGTAGTGCATGTGTGCGGTCTGCTGGTGGTGATGGCGTGTCTGGGGTAGTTGATCGTGGCAATCTTATTAATTCGGTGCCGAATGTGTCCCCGGCTGCTTGTGTCTCTGTTGTTGATGATGTCGTTGTTGGTCGTTCTGACACTGTGCGCCGTTGGCAAGATGACTTGCTTTTGACCATGAAGAAACAGATGGATATCTACATTGACCAGTGTGTAAGTGAATTCAAAGCCAAAGCCGATGCACTGTTTGAGTTGTATAGTGTTCAAATTTCTGAGGTGAAAAGCAGTTCGAGTGTAATCAGCAGATCAGTGGATGAACTGAAGTCAGCTGTTATTGAGGTGAAGAGCACTGCTGCGAGTATGGAGGAGAGACTGTTGGGTAGAATTCGAGAATTGGAATTGTTTAATTCTATGCTCCAGTGCAGACTGAACCGTTCATATGTAATTAAGAGGCCTGCCTAATAATGTTAAAGACCTTAGAGCGCAAGTTGTTAATATTGCCAAGGTTTGTGGATTACATCTGGGGCCTCGTGACTTGGGTCATTCCTGTTACATCTCTGATCGTAGAGCGGTTCTTCTTAAATTTAACTCCATTCAGGACAGAGTCCATTCAGTTGAAGTCAGTAATGGAGGATTGTCTTCTTGAATCCCGGGTCTACATAAATGATCACCTGATTAAGTCAACTTCGAAGCTGGTGTTTGATTGTCGGGGTTTGCTGAGGAAGAAGCACATTAGGAGTTTTAGATTGGTCAATGAGGGTAATTCTCCCTGATGGAGTGAAAATGATGTTTGAGCAGTATGAGCTTTTTGAATTGGCCAATCGATCTCAGTGTGCAATAAGTGGTACACCTGAATTCTGCTCCTGGTTTGCTGCTTGGTGATGGTAATGTTGTATAATAGTTGTCTGCTTAGATATTTGAGGCATGCTAGTGTTGCTGATCTCACTATTTTTTCATATTTTTTTCTTATTTTTCTTGGGCCAAGTGAATTGTTAATATAATAAGTTTTGCCTTTATTTTTGCTTTATTATATATTTATTTTATTATATTTATTCTTACTTTATAGTTTTCTATGATTTTTCTAACTTCTATAATTATGCTCCCCAGCCTTTTTTTGATTTCTATGTCCCTTGATGGGAATCTCGGACCCGTGATCAGGGATGCTCAATTTTTCAGGCACGTCTCTTCTTGCTTCCATGGTAAACTTACGTATGGTCACTTGAATTGTCAAAGTTTTCGACCATCTAGATATAATCATAAGGTTGATGAGTTGAAATGTCTGCTTGTTGGTAGTGGTATTGATATTTTTGCAGTGACTGAATCTTGGCTTAACCCTGCGGGGTCTTCGAAGTCGTTGATGGTTCCGCTGTACAAGGTTCTGCGTAATGACCGTGTTGGCCGCATTGGTGGGGGTGTAATGCTATATGTACGTGATATTTTGTTATATAAGGTGGTTTACTGTTCGGAGAATTATGGTGTGTGTGAATCTTTGTCCGCTGATCTTTTCCTGGGCGGCACTACAGTGCTCTTTACTGTCGTCTACTTACCTCGTGGGGACGTAGACGATTTTGACTATAATTTGTGTAAACCGTTGAATTCTTTATCAATGCGAAGACTGTGCAGATCTCTTGGGCTTTCTTTGTACACAATTCCAGTCCGACTCACCTTGATGTTGCTCGTAGCACTACCTCATTAATTGACTTTTGCCTGGTCTCTGATGCCTTGACTGAGAATTTTTTCTCGCAGGGGCAGTGCCCTGGTATTTCCCACCATGCATTGATTTTTGAAGGGGTTGACCTCCAGGTTCTTGCTGAAGAAAAGGTTATTGAGTTCTTGGATTTTCGTAGGACTGACTGGCGGGATGTGGAAGACTATGTTTGCAATTTTGATTTTAGTCCTCTGTATCTTACGAGTGATGTTGATCAATAGTTGGCTTTGTTTGATTTGTTGTTTCAAAATTTGTTATCTTCTGTACCTACTGCTACCAGCTGTTCGCGCCCAAAAAATGATGCTTGGTTGGGGTTGGTGTGGTAAAGTCGGCCTGTTACGATAGGGATCAGGCTTATCTGGAGTGGCGTTGGCGTCCTACGGTTCGCTACAGGCAGATATTTTGTGTGTATAGAAACCGCTGTAAGGCTGTCATGCGTAATGAAAGAAGGAAATTTTATGAGGAAATGTACGAAATGTGGTCGTACGAGCAGTGTGCAGATATGGAAGTCGTTAAAGTCGTTTGGTTCCCATTTATTGATGTCAATGCTGTTAATAATTGCTGTAGGCGTTGATGGCATACCTATTAACTTCTTCAAATGCGTATTCCCTTACAATTGTAGTCACTTTTTGCATTTTGTAAATTGTACTTTTATGACGTCAACCTTTCCACTTGCGTGGAAGGTTGCTCCTGTGGTGCCTGTGCCGAAGAACATGTTATTAAGGATGCGATTGTTGATTTTCTGGATGACCGTAAGTATTTGAGTAGTTCCCAGTTTGGGTTTCGGTGTGGTTCTAGCACCACTGTTCATCTTTGAGCCCTCACTGATCTCATTCGTAATATGTTCAATAGTTCTGATGTTGGTTTGCTTGTTGGCCTTGATTTGTCTAAGGCATTTGATTCTGTGGATCATACGCTTCTGCTCTGTAAGCTGAGAGACAAGTTTTGTTTCTCTTTCTTTGTTTAGATTGATATCGTCGTATTTGAGTGGAAGATTTCAGTTTGTTGTGCACAGGGGTGTTCAGTCTGATGTTTGTGCTGTGCGGTGTGGTGTCCCACAAGGGTCTGTGCTTTGCCCTCTGCTTTTTATTATGTTCATTAATGACATTGTGGGGTCAGTGTCTAATTCCAG